TTTAGTTGCTTACACAAGGTTGGTTGTGTATTACAAACTCAACCCCCCCCCCGGAGACGCTCTGCTCTAGTTTGTTTAAAAGTCACTGATAGAAAATATTTCAGACAAACTTTGTACAAAGTCACAACAAAGAAGATTTGCTTTGTATATATAACTGGACCAAAAATTATTAAACCCAAAATGTGCCAAATTCTTAAGTAAATTTAAATTCTTCTGTTTCAAAGCAGATGCAAAACACAGATATAGAAAATTGCACTGCTGACTGACTGGGTGATTATCTTTTACTGTCAACATTTCAATATGTACACATGTTATAACAAATAACAGAAATTAAATTGACACAGTTTTAGACAGGAATAACAAAATATGTCTTACAACTGGTTTTAAACAAGTGACAAGAATAAAGAGAGACAGTCACAGTCTGCCTGCCTTAAGGACTCATCAGTTACAGATACCAGGAAAAAGTACTTACTCAAGTTTGGCAAAGGCTATATACTTCTGTAACATTCAGACTGACCCTGTACTCCTAAAATAGCAATCATGTATACTGAATTTATAAAATGTTATTTATATTATCAATAAATGAATCGAATTATTATTATTATTAATATGGTACATTTATATATTTAGTTTCATTTGTTTGTTTTACTTTTATTATTATTAAAATAAATTAATTACTTATTATATTTTATCCTGTACTCTGGTTTAGTGCTTGGCTGTTATTGGCCTTTTTGGCTGTTGTCAAGCACTTAAATAAATGAATTGAATTGAATTCCAGTGCCATAACTCTATTACATTTCTTCTTTTGAGGTTATGTTAACACATACACACATATACCTCCCACAAATGCTGCAAAATCTCGATGAACTAAAAATACGCATTTGATATGCAAATGCTGTCCATTGTTTTGAATGAGACTTATTATCATTTTGATGTGTGTGGAATCACTAATGGAGCTCGCACTGCAGTCAGATAAGCAAAAATGAAAATGTTGAGAGTTCTTGGTTATGTCATACAAAACTCATTATCACGCATAGTTCACATGTTTTAGAATAAATTATTAAAAGTGGAAAGAACATTTATAGTAACTCTGTAGTTTGATCCTACCTACAATCAGAATTATTGTTTTAACACTTTGCCTTTATTGCACAACTTCATGGTATCCACAAGGCTACTATTATAACACTTCATATTTCATGAACAAATGCAGACCATAAGGGTAAGCCACGCCCATCCCTTTCCGAAGGAATCCTGTACTATCAAGCTCATATAACAAACACAGAATGTTCCATGCAAAACTCAAACCTAACTATTTCACACAAACCCCTTCACATAAAAAACAACTAAACAAATGGCAATGCTGAATTCTTGCAGTCATGTTCCAGTTATGCACTGTTTGTAATCAGTATGGCTGAAGACCGCCTCCATTCTGAAGAAAATTAAATTTTCAGCAGCCAAGTTGGCTTTTGCAAGGCACACCAGCCCATAAAAATGATGACAGTAATAAAATTTCAGAATTGTCTGAAGGTGACTGCACCAAACAAGGCCATGAGTGTTGGAAGACTGTGAAGTTGTGAGGCATGTACAGCCAGGAGAAACAAATGACCGAGCCAATGACACAAATTCCTGAAAGATCATCAGTCAGACAGCTGAATCTAAATGGATTGAAAGCTTGGTAGATTACATGAAACAACAAGAAAACAGACGTGCTCGTGTCTGAGAAGCTAGTGCCTCCAACAACATTATGACCTGCCTGTGCTTAAACAACCGTAACATATTATGGACACTATCATTTCTGTCTTAACTGTAATAAAACTTAAAAAATACTGAACACATATCCATAATTAACCCTTGAAAGCCCTCCTGCTTCAACTATCAATAAATCTTCATTCTGTATTTAGGCCTATGGCTTTCTTGTGATTCTCTGTGTAAACAGGTATTATTTCGTAAGACTTGAGGTTCTCACAGCGGTGAGTATGAAGATATCCGTCTTCTGGGTTGTTGCGCTGTGTAGTCTGGTCGATGTTAACCAACGTTTCAGAGGTCATACTGCCTCC